TTACCCAACCCCAAAGGCTCTTTTCAGAGCCGCTCAACCTTTCACATAAAGAGCTTTAATCCTGGAGTGTTGGTAGTGTTAGGCAAGAGCCATGTGGCAGTTGAAATGCTTTCCTCGGTCTTTACTTTCCCATTCTAGTTTTCTCAGTAGCTTGTGTTCATGAAACGGTATTAAGCAAGGCCTGAGCAGAAAAACTTGTTTCGAAAACAAGGCAGTGCTTGGCTGCTTAACTATTGAGAGTTTCAGAAAATGAAACTAACTTGGCAGCTCTTTCGCCAGGGCTTGTACTGAGAAGTCTTGGGCTGTCCGGACGAGCCTGGACGAGTTCTACACATTGGCATCCCTTATACGCAAGCCTGTGTAGAAAGCACAATGTGCTTGGTGAGTCTGAGTCATTGTTCAGTGGGAAACAATAGGATGCTACATACCTGATGGCGTGAGAAACTAATTTCCTAGTAAATGGAAGGGGTTGGGGGGGGAAACCACTGAACTTAGAGGATAGATGTCTATTGAAGAATAACCCCAAACTTTAGTTGTTATTCTGCAAGTAATTGGGGCATTCCGTGCTTCTTTGGAAAAGTGAACAGGATTTGTAAGAGGAAGGAGAAGGTAAAGAAGCGGCCGAGAACAGCCTGGAAACACCGCCTCTTGTTTTGCAGTGATGTCTGCCAGCCAGCACAGGAGCCAGGCCTGGGCAGTCTTCCCTTAAGAGGCTTGATAGGAATCCTCAACAGAATACACTGTCCCCTATCCATTTACAAAGTACCTTGAGACTCACGTCATCAAGAGCTCTTCAGTTACTGTCCTCACTTTTGGCAAGTCCACCCTCCTAGGCATTTCTCTGTCGGATCAGGGAGTGTGGAACAGAGAGGGTGGTGGTTAGTGCACGAGGTTCTAGGATCACAGATCTGAGTGTGCCTAACTTTCTTCCCTAAATGACGCGTTGAGGGGAAGGACTAGGACTCTGAGTTTATTTATTTGTTGAGAGCCTCAGAAAGTGAGCTTCAGAGAGTGACAGGTACTTGGGGAAGAGCTCAGTGAGCAGGAGAGAAATAATCTTTGACCTCACAGGGCTCCGAGTCGAAAATGGACATTTCAATGGGAGTCTCACAGACTAACAGAAAGGGCAAACCTCTGTCTGAAGGTCACTTTAGCATTGCCAAAAGTCAAATGGATTTAATCTTGACTAGGACAATGACAAGGGAAGAGGACGTGGCTAGAGGGAGAGAAGATTCGATGTGCAGGAAAAAAATACCATGCAGAGTTTGCATTTATGGACTAGAGTTAACAACAGGGGCTATATATTTATTTATGCTTTTCACCGGGCCATGTCTCATTTTGGGTTCACGGGGATTCTGTAGAAGTTCGGTGCCTAACTAAAATGTAGGATCTTACTGAAATGCAGAAAGGAACGCTATCATAGATCTTGTCCATTAATCTTCTTAAGGACTGGTTTTTGTGTACACCCTTGGGAGTGACAGACAACCTAAAATAGTCACTGGTTAAAGTAGATAAAAGACGGTTTCTCTCTCATGAACAGGTGTATAAATGTAATCTCGGGCCTGGCATGGGGTCTCCCTAAGGAGCTCATCTCCCTTTGTGTAATGTGCGTTGGCTCTGTCATTGGAGAATATTCTCAAATATATTCTGCTATTGAATTCTGCTATGGAGGACCAACCCAAGACCAACAAACTGGATGGCCGCAACTCATAAGAAATGTTAAGTGGGTAATTCCTAAGTGAGAAACTTACGAGAAGTGTTATGTGGGTAGGCAAGAAATTGTATGAGATGGAGACAAAATTCAAAAGCTGTATTGACTAAAAATCATAAATTTGTTGCCTGTCAGACATGGTGCACATAGAGAAAGTAAGCAGAGCCCGTGTGCTACACGGAGGTGGGAAGAGATGAAAGAGAGCGAGAAATGCCAGAATTTGCGCCACACCAAATATTTATGAGGTACTCAGTATTCAGTCTTACATTGACCACCCCTCGGTGACTTCCACTTTAGCCCCATTTGCCTTCTGCAGACAAACACCCTCGTCAAGGGCATGGCTGCTTGGGATGTCACGGGCAGCCAATACGGGAGGCTGTGTGCCCAGAAATGGCCTGCCCGGTAGTATAATTGAAGACATGAATGGGGGGTTGGGGGGTGCCTGGGTGGCTCAGTTGGTTGGGCGTCCAACTTCAGCTCATGATCTCACTGTTCATGAGTTCGAGTCCCGCATCAGACTCTGTGCTGGCAGCTCAGAGCCTGGAGCCTGCCTTGAGTTCTGTCTCCCTCTTTCTCTTCCTCTCCCCCAATGGCTCTCTCTCTCTCTCTCTCTCTCTCTCTCTCTCTCTCTCAAAAATAAATGGACATTTTAAAAAAAAATTTTTTTAAAGAAGACATGCGGGTAATTTCCTACCTTTTCACTCTAGCTGTCATTCTTACACCTTGCAGCCCAAGAGGTCTGCTCCAGCTACAACTCTCTTGTTCACATTCTATCCTGAAGGAAGGAGAAATGGGCATCCCCACCATTTACTGAAATCCTGAGAATGGGGTAACCCGGCCTTTGCTAATATGCCCTTGGCCAAAAATACTCAATGGCCACACTAGCTACAAAAGAAGCCGGGGGAGTGGCATTACTACATAAGAGAGGAAAAGCCAATTTCAGGGAACAACTGTGTGGCTGTCCCTGCCACAGCTCTTACCTAAAGACAGAAGGTCTCCCTCTCTCTCTGCTCCTCCCCCGCTCATGCTCTGTCTCTCTCTCTCTCTCTCCTTCAAAAATAAATAAAAACATTAAAAAAGAAAATTTTTAAAGACAGAGGGAGACTGATGAGTTCCTACCTCTTCAGGGGGACACTGGAGCTTCCTGGTACAACACAACTGAATTGTAAGTATTGGCAATAATTGCTTCGGCTGCGAAGAAAATAAAATGGTACCAGTCTAGTTAGAATCAAATTTCCCCGTTGAGATGAACAGTGATCACCGCCACTGGGAAGCCGGGGCGAGCGGTGTGCGATCAGCACAGGCTTGGGAGATCAGCAAAACACCTGGGAAGGTAGAGGGAGGCCAACAAGGTCAGACTCAAAGCCCGTGAACAAGGTCAGGCTGAGTTTGGAGTCCAGTGACAGCCCACTGTTTCCATGTACATTCTGAGGGCCACCATCTGGTATACAAGTTCCAGCCTTACCTGCCTCGGGCTTGACTTCTGCACTTTTTACCTTGGTGGGTTTACTCAACTCATTCCGAAGATATCACCATCAGGGTAACATTCGTTATGCACCAAACCTCCAGAAGATTCAGTCCTCGCCTTTTGTTCTAAAAAGCTCTGTTCTCTCATTTGGAACCTCAAATCTCTTACTTTTGATTTTAAGTACACTATCACACAATTAAGACCCTTTCCTGAATCAGGCTGGCAGTCCTCCATGACCTTAACACTCGTCTATACCTGCCCTTGCCTTTTTTTTTTTTTTTAATTTTTTTTTTCAACGTTTATTTATTTTTGGGACAGAGAGAGACAGAGCATGAACGGGGGAGGGGCAGAGAGAGAGGGAGACACAGAATCAGAAACAGGCTCCAGGCTCTGAGCCATCAGCCCAGATGCCTGATGCGAGCCTGACGCAGGGCTCGAACTCACGGACCGCGAGATCGAGACCTGGCTGAAGTCGGACGCTTAACGGACTGCGCCACCCAGGCGCCCCAAGCCCTTGCCTTTTTGTTCACCTTCCTCACTGTGCGCTCGGGAACCTGGAGTGATACTTTCTCAAAAAATATTAAAAACACGTGAATCAATGCTGAGTTTCCCTGGGAGCCCCAGCTTGAGAACACAGAGGACCCTGTCCTCTGGCTGCTTATCAGACCGTGACCCTGAATATGCTCCCAGCTTAGGACCTGTTCAGTCATCACTGTCCTCTTCTCTGTGGAATGATCTTCTCACAGATGCGTGCAGAACCACCTCCTTCCCAGGCTTCCTGCCTCTGCCTCGGTGGCACGTTAGTGGGGGTGTCCTCCCCACCCACCCTCTTTAAGACTACAACCCTCCACCACCCATCCCTGGCAGTCCTTAATCTTCTTGGCCTGTTTCTTCCATCCCTGAATCTCTTTACCCACCAAAATACTGTGTTTGTTTATTTTTGTTTATTTCCTGTCTCCCACAACGACAAGGACAATGTCCGTGAGCCCCACCCCAAGGGAACCTTACCCACGTTACTCACTGCTCTATTTCCGGCACCTCCAATGACGTAGGGCGCGTTGTAAGCGCTCAAAAAGTTTTTGATGGGTGTTCAGAGAAAGCAAAATTAAAATATGCATGTAACACACAATGGCCATCCATTGTCTAGCACCGGAGATAAAACCCATGGCTGAATTATCAAAATGAGCACCTCTGTGAAGTAGCTTACCTCACTATGCTTCAATTTCTTCGTCGTTGTATTTGGGCTAATAATGGCCCCTCACCCATAGAGTTATTGTGTGGATTAAATAAAATGATCTACGCAGGCACCAAATTACACTTTTGAACTCATGAAGTCATGGTTCTTTTACCACCTAGACAATTCCCCGAGACAGGGATTGTTAACATCTCTACCTGGCAAGTGACCTAAGGGAAACCCAGATGCCACCCAGAGCTTGGAACAGGCCACCAGTGGGTGTAGATTCAACCAGAAACACTGCTGCTGCTGATTGGCTCACCCAGCGAAATACAGCTGGGGGGGCTCACCACTGTTCCTGATACGCGAACCTCTGGCCTAGTCCCCGAAGACGTTCATGTCTGTAATCTTGAATTTGCAATTCAAACAAATGGAGTTTGTTACCTGAGCGTACACATTTTGCCTGTGGCCATAAAACTAGCACGTCTGAAGTATCAGGATATGAATTGCATTTAACCTCTAACCTGCACAGGTTTGCTCTTTTCTCCTTAAGTATAAAATGCTAAAAGGTCAGCTTCTATTTGCTAGACCTGGATAGAAAGAAAAGTGCGCCATAATTTTTGTCCTGGAGCACAACTGGGACTACCTAAGTATAAAACAGAACCTGCTTACCTGAGAAACAGACAGAAATTCCTATGTTCAACTGTTTCCAAGGCCTTGCATCTGAGCTAAAACCTCCAAGGCCCTACTTGATCTGGCTTTTTATCTCTCTGCCTTCACCTCCTTCTATTGTGCCCCGCCCATTCCATGCAGCGGGTGGGGGGGGCGGACAGGACACCTCACGACTCCCCTCCCCTGTCCTCTCCCCTCGCCTCCTTTCAAATCTATGCTGAAATTGTATCCTTGTCTTCATACGTGCCTTATCTAAATTTCAATTCCCCATAACATTCCTTATTCCACCTTCATTTTTCTCCTTACCATCTACCACACTACCTCTGATATTCATGTGATTTGTTGTCTGTCCTTCCTGGACGTGTAAACTCCACGAGAGCTGAGAATTCTGTTTTGTTCTCCGAGTATTATTCCCAACGCACAGAACAGCACCTAGCACATTGTAAACTCTCAACAACTATATGTGTGGAGTAGATAAATTTTTAAATTCATCAGTGTTGAGAAATGTTTGTTGGGGGAATCATCACGGATCATTTTGGGCTTTAAAATGGTAGACGTGTTTTTGTTTTTTTATTTTTTTTTAATGTTTTTTTTTATTTTTTTAATGTTTTTTTTTTATTTTTGAGACAGAGACAGAGCATGAACGGGGGAGGGTCAGAGAGAGAGGGAGACACAGAATCCGAAACAGGCTCCAGGTCCCGAGCTGTCAGCAAGACCCCGACGCGGGGCTCGAACTCTTGGACCCTGAGATCATGACCTGAGCTGAAGTCGGAAGCTCAACCGACTGAGACAACCAGGCGCCCCGGTAGACGTGTTTTAAAATATTGAGGGGCGCCTGGGTGGCGCAGTCGGTTAAGCGTCCGACTTCAGCCAGGTCACGATCTCGCGGTCCGGGAGTTCGAGCCCCGCGTCAGGCTCTGGGCTGATGGCTCGGAGCCTGGAGCCTGTTTCCGATTCTGTGTCTCCCTCTCTCTCTGCCCCTCCCCCGTTCATGCTCTGTCTCTCTCTGTCCCCAAAAAAATAAATAAACGTTGAAAAAAAAAATCTTTAAAATATTGAGAGCGGAAATGATACGATTTTTTTTTACAATGATCAAGAGGTACAGATAAAACATATTTGGCCACTGTTGATGATGTTGAAGCTGGTGCAGGGTATACAGAGTTTATCAAACCATTATTTCTTCTTCCCTATATTCTGAAATGTCACATAATAAAAACGTTCGAAAAATGAAAAGAATAGCTGTGGGGGAGAAGATAAATTGACAAAGGCCACGGAGAAAGACCAGGTGAATACCCAAACAGCACTTTGAGCCCAGTGTTGGCCCGGAAGTCCAGGATGTTCCTTTTTGTAGCATCCCTTAAAATCTGGTATTACCAGGACACCTGGGTGGTTCAGTGGGTTGAGCCTCTGACTCTTGATCTGGGGCTCAGGTCATGATCTCACAGTTCATGAGCTGAGGCCCCTCCTTGGGGCCTGTACTGTCAGCACAGAGCCTGCTTGGAACTCTCCTCCCTTTCTCTCTGCCCCTTACCCCCACCCCACTGGTGCTCGCTCTCTCACTCTCTCTGAAAATAAATAAACTTAAAAAAAAATTTTTTTTTTAATCTCGTATTGTCAGTTGCCCAAAGCAGCCGTCTCTCATCATAGACTCACATTGGCCCTATCCTCAGAAATTCCTACAAAAGCAACATTCATTGCAGCAAGGTTAATAGTTGTCAACCAAGCCAGAAAATCCATATATATATATATATATATATATATATATATATATATATATATATATAGTCTCTGAAAGCAAGCTACAAACCTGATTCTACAGATATAATTCCTTGCTAAACTGGGAGTCGAGTTAAACAGGAGCTAACCACAAGATTGGAATTTATGTAGCATCTGGTCTTGACCCTAACTTCCTGTTGGTAGCATCTGAGCTTTCATAATTACCATTGCCTACAAGCACCCCATAGACTACAACTAAAATGGTCCTGACTGGACATCAGGCAAAGACATTTTTCACAAAACCTCTAATTGCCTCTAATGTGTCATCAATATTGAGATCACTGCTGTTAAATCAAACTATTTTCCCAGCAACTTGCAATTGATTTGGAGAACATTTAACTCTATGACATAAATAAGCATGCTGTTTGCAAATGATTATTCCTGGTGAGAGTTCACAGGTGGCTTTCTTGATGAGGCCAAAAATATCATTTTTAAAAATGGGCTTCTTAAACTGGTGTCAGTGACAAGCACAAGGTGAACTTGGTACAATGCAGCTTCTGACCAGGCCTGGGGAGGGATGGGGGGTGGGGGGCACGTGGTGATGAGAACCTTCATCCCTACAAATGATGCCCTTGCTGGTGGGCACACCCTTTATGAGTCAGACTGTAGAAACCACCAGGACTGTTACAGGCTCTGTGACCAGTAAGCTCATTAGAAATCCTGAGTCTAATTCTTTTACAGTCAACGATCAGGCTGTACTGTTCTAAGTTTTTACAAAAAAGCCAAAAAAACCTCACTTCACACGATAAGGATAGGAATTAGTCAAATTGAGGTTTCAAACATGAAAAAACTAAACATGCCCACAGCTCCAGTTTTCCAACTGCAAATACCCAAACCGGTGGGAACTTTGTGTAAACAGCAAACGTACAAGCACCAGCACCCAAGCTCACTTTTTGGGAGTAAAGATCCCCAACTTCCACATGTCCCCATTAACCAGTCACATATAAAATAGTGAATCATCCTACTGCCAGGCCAGAGCAGCCCGGACTTCCCGAACTCACCTGCCCTTTCCCCGGAGCCAGAAGGTACTACCTTAGAACTTTTAACCACCTATCCACTCAAGCAGTTTAGGGCACACATCAAGGTGCAGAACGCAGCGAGCAGGTTCTGAAGTCAGCCAAACGCCATTCACCAGACCAACTTAAAGACAGAAGGCCAACGGGGTAATCAAGTCTCGAACATTAAAACCCCCAGACGGCTTCAAGTGGACAAAGTTACAGCAACTTTACAGAAAAAGTGGGTGGCTCTTAGAAGAGCCTTTGAGTTGATCGAAATCAAGAGTGGGAAAGCCTTACGCCCGCTCCCCGCGGATGCGGCGCGCCAGCTGGATGTCCTTGGGCATGATGGTGACGCGCTTGGCGTGGATGGCGCACAGGTTGGTGTCCTCGAAGAGCCCCACCAGGTAGGCCTCGCACGCCTCCTGCAGCGCCATCACGGCCGAGCTCTGGAAGCGCAGGTCGGTCTTGAAGTCCTGCGCGATCTCGCGCACCAGCCGCTGGAACGGCAGCTTGCGGATCAGCAGCTCGGTGGACTTCTGGTAGCGGCGGATCTCGCGCAGGGCCACCGTGCCGGGCCGGTAGCGGTGCGGCTTCTTGACGCCGCCGGTGGCCGGCGCGCTCTTGCGGGCCGCCTTGGTGGCCAGCTGCTTGCGCGGGGCCTTGCCGCCCGTCGACTTGCGCGCCGTCTGCTTCGTACGAGCCATTTGAGAGAAAGCGAGGAGGTAAGCCAAACTGACCAACAAGGCCAAAGGCGTTGCCTTTATATATATTCAGAAACATTCCGATTGGTCTCGCCTTTTTCAAAAGTCCCGCGCAATGAAACTATTGGCTAAAGAGTGAACGACCTGATTGGTGAATTAAAACAGACTCCGATTGGATGACTAGTTCATCATTTCAATCCCCTGTAATCTTTGTCATAGTCAGCCATCCTAGGATTTAACACTAATATTCTGGCTCAATTCATCTCAAAACCAATTAAATCACTTGGAGGTCGGGGAAAAATGCCAATTCTGATTGAGGAGACCTACGTAATGGGGCCTAACGTTCCCAGGACCACGCTTTCATCACAGATTTATGTATATTTTGTTTCAGATGGTTATTTTTACTGAGCTGAACCTTGAGTGGCCTAGACTGCCACTTGTGTCCACTCTGGGAAACCACAGGTAAAACGCCTCGTCCCGGAGACGACGGGAGATCACCAGGGCACAAGAAATGTTTGTTGGGCTTCCTTAAGGTGGCCGAATAGCATACTGCTTCTTTCAATTCAGAATTGAAACAGCTTGCTCCGATTTTCGATCCTGTAGTTTTGCTGTTTAAGTGTCTTAAGGGACTCTAGGTTACCGTGCCCACCCGCCATTTTTCACAGGGTTCATTTATTAAACTATCCTCCTTACTTGTGGATATTTAAGTGTTTTACTTGCGCACAACTTGGGAAGCATGGGAGTCCAACCTATCCGGATAAGCACTAGCCCAATGCTGTACTTAAAACTGTTAAGCTTATTCAGAAGTCCCGTTTCCCAGGATCCCAAAGTAACGTCAACAAAATAAATTGCAATGAATGAACTGTAACCAAAGGCTGCAACCATTTAAATTTTACGCAATTATGTTGCCTCGATTTGAGTTACAAACTCTTTCATGTGAAAACGTGGACGGCTCTGAAAAGAGCCTTTGGGTTATGAAAGTTTTTAGCTTTAGTGCACACTGGGATTTAGATAGATTCACTTGCCCTTGGCCTTGTGGTGGCTCTCGGTCTTCTTGGGCAGCAGCACGGCCTGGATGTTGGGCAGGACGCCGCCCTGCGCGATGGTCACGCGGCCCAGCAGCTTGTTGAGCTCCTCGTCGTTGCGGATGGCCAGCTGCAGGTGGCGCGGGATGATGCGCGTCTTCTTGTTGTCGCGGGCCGCGTTGCCCGCCAGCTCCAGGATCTCGGCCGTCAGGTACTCCAGCACGGCCGCCAGGTACACCGGCGCGCCGGCCCCGACCCGCTCCGAGTAGTTGCCCTTGCGGAGCAGGCGGTGCACGCGGCCCACCGGGAACTGCAGCCCGGCCCGCGACGAACGCGTCTTGGCCTTGGCGCGAGCCTTGCCACCCTGTTTTCCGCGTCCAGACATGATGATGCTGTGACTACAGAGCCACAAAAAAAAGAGACTGAGCCTACCTCGCAAGAAGCTAGACTATTATACTCTGCAGAGGTTTGGTAAAGCAGCCTATGCCGTTGCCCGAACACAAATTCTAGCCAATCAAGAAGCACGTCCAAAACAACACTTTCTAATTTACATGGAACGTTAACAGTAGAAAGGTCAAATTATTCATGGTTGAACTATGGGGAAGAGCCAATGAGAGTTTAGGATAAAGAACAGCCTATCAGAAGCTAAGATACTGAAGGGTCCAATCAGAAATCGTAATTCTGCGATCCCTAATTTGCATACACACCAAATAAAAAAGAGGTCGCTTGCTCGTAGGCGTATTTTCCTCCCGTTCGCCTAGAGGTGTTGTTGGGACGCAATGCCTGAGCCAGCGAAGTCCGCTCCCGCCCCGAAGAAGGGCTCCAAGAAGGCGGTGAC